TCCAAAGTAGACATATATCTTGTCGATTTGATCTGTCTAATGATTCTCCGTCTATAACCGGCAAAGGGTAAACTGGGAATTTAGTAATACTATTTAGTTTTCTGTAATCGATAGCAAACCTCCAAGCCCTTTTATCCGAAGGAGGAAACTCGTTCTTTTTCCTACATAGTACGACTGGACTCGCGTACTCACTATTTATGGGCGTTATTATTTTATTCTTTAACATCTCCTGAATATGTTCTTCGATGATTACGTCTTTTTGTTTGTCATAGCGGTAAGGTTTAGTCCTACAAGGTTTTTCGGCATTTAATTGAATCTTGTGCGTCACTATTTGACAGTTTCCCGGTTTTTCTGAAAACAAATGAGAAAAATTACTCACCACTTGCTGTATTGCTTTACTTTCCTGGTCATTCAAATGGCTAAGGTCCAATTGCAGGTGTCTCCACCGGTTCCACCACCCTCTGGTCCATCTCCAGCACCACGGAACTATCTTGAAAATTTAATTTGGCCCTCGCGGCCCTTAAAAACTCCATACCTAAAATAAGAGAGTGTTGGAGTTTTTCACCACAAAAATTAATACTTTGAGATTTTCCTCTTTTACCTGTAAGTTTAATGATACTTTCCCGATGCAGTGACATGTTTTTCCTTGCGCCGCTATAATTTCCGTATTTCTGGTTTTAAATAATCGTATCCTATAAAAATTCTTTTTGAAGAACTTTTCACTCATAAAATTTCCTTCTGCTCCTGTATCGATGAGGGCTTCTACTGGTACATCGCCAACCAGGACTTGTATAATTGGTAGCTGTGAGTTTTTTTACGATGACCTGTATTTAATGTCTATTTGAGGGTTTTTTCTAAAACTTCCGGGGTCTGGACCCTCCCTTTCACAGGCCCCTCTACTCGTTTAAAGCTTTCCTTTCAATCTGTGTCTTCTGGGTACGCGGATGCTTATTTTCAAATTTTCTTTTTGGGCCTTGACCTTCGAGTTTCGATGCGTTAGCTTGATAGTTCTTTCCCCCATAAGAGCGATTTCCATTTCTTTTTCCTCCTTCCTTCGGGTACTTTGAGAATATGTTTCCCCTCTCGCTTTTTCCGCTATTCTGCGATTTTGAAACTTCACCGCCAATTCGAAGAGTTCCTGCAATGTGCTTGGGTTTCTAATTTCAAAGTAGTCTTGGACAGCGGGTAACAATCTTGGTAATATTATTTCAATAATCTCCGCATCGGGTTTTTTTCCCATACAGCATATCCGTTAGCTTGATTTTTCGTAGAATAAAGTCCGTCAATTCTTGCTGTATCCCGTTGATAGAAACTATATAGTTCGGCTTCCAGCCGTGCGCGATCTTTCACTATGGGGAAGGCCTTTACTAACGATTTTTTGAAATTTTCAAATGTATATGTCGGGCTTCCAAATTCCCCTATAGAAATTTTTCCTATATTTTTCCACCATAGCGCGGCCTGTCCTCTTAGTGCTGATGTGGCGATGGCAACTTTTTGTCTTTCAGGCACAGGGTAGAGCTGAAAGTGGTTTTCTAGGACCTTCTAGAAATACCGCCACCGAATTTTTTCCGTCGAAATGGACGTTTGGCTTGATTGACGCTCTCAAAGTCTGGACCAGGTATCCAAATCCTTCTAACTGCGTTGTCATTTCTTGTTGTTGTCCAGCGGCTTCCATCCAGATTTTCGGCCATTTCAGTTCGATAAGTGTTCGGGCGCCAATATAACGTTGCGCGCCTCTAACTGCACGCAACCAAGAGGTGACTGTGAAACTTGTATAAAACCACAGAGTCTTATAAGGGTTTAAGTCCCTTTTTATTCAACGTACTAAATTACAATTGCGTGCTCTTGACGCTACAAACTGTGCCAACTCGGCAGTCAAATAAAAATAAAAACCTGAAAAGAAAGTAAAGACAATATTCTAACTACGAGGCTCTCTAAAATAACTAACTCACCGCGTTTTACAAAATACCGCTGCTAATTCAGCAGACTTGAAGCTCACTGGAACGATTGCAACTACTTCCCGCCAAGCACATAGGCCGAAACGCGGGGTTCTTCAATTCTCGCTAACTACCTCCGCGCTCGCGAAGTAAGAATAACTCTCTCACCGAACTCGTTTCCTTCTATTTAAATCATACTACTTCCGCTGATAATTTGAATGCTTGCGCGTTCTACTCAAATTTACATATTCTGGCATTGGCAGTTCCAGGGGAAAGTAAGGCTTGACAGGAAAGATAGTTTAAACTTAAAATAAATGTTAGTTAAAATAATTATAAACCCTACAGTATAGCAAATATATTTGGGTTCATTTCTTTGGAAAAGAATAGATTAACAAGTCAAATAAGCTCTGCATATGTATAATATGTGGCATTAAAGGATGTAAATTGATTTGGTGAAAACTAAATAATTGTAAGAACAATGGTGGAAATAATGTTTAAGGTGAGAAGCGGTAGTGTAGAAAACCTAAAGCTGTATGCAATATACACTGAAGACCTTGTAGAGACATTAGGATTTTTTGGAGGCCGGAGAGAGGAAAAATGAGCAACGCCTTCGCCGGGAATCGAACCTCGGACCTCTGAAACACCGGCTCACTGAGGGTGACTGGGGATTTTAGGAGACCCAATTGCCAAATCCTGGGTGTGGAGATTCATCATCCACGACCTTTTTAGTTCGAGCGCCATTGTAGAGACATTAGGATTTTTTAGAAGCAAGAGAGATTGAAAAATTAGCAACGCCTTCACCGGGAATCGAACCACGGACTTCTGAAATACCGGCCCAGTGTTCTGACCACTAGACCACGAAGGCAGGAGAAATACCTTACAACCTGAAAAGGGCACAGGCAATGGTTTTATGTGCTACAAGAGACCAACATCGTAATTTTTTAACATGGAGGGAAGATCACAATAATTCTATGTTTAGGCAGAGATGGCTGCTGAATAAAACTCATCCTGTTCTACATCGATTGATCATCCAGATTGAATGTCATTTAAAGATTGCACTGTAGAAGGAATATTTAGAACTTTTTTATATCCCGTGTTTATAAAACAAATATTACAAATTATTACAATAATCTGTTGATTATATTCGATGGGAGAAGTTAATTTATTCATATTAAGTGATAGATTATATGTACTTGCAACAGGTGAAGGGCATTCTTGAGGCTTCTATATCGACAAAAATTATTATTCGCTAATTGGCAATCGGTGGCCTACATGCTAAGATGGAGTGAAAAAGGCAAGAATTTTGTTTTCAAATTTTATTATTCCCTGACCCAACACATAGTTCTGTTCCATGAACTTCAGGTTCCACATGAGGTAAATAAAAAATCAATGTTAATGTTAATGAAAACATCAAACTATTTTTTAACAATTGTTTTAACGATTTTTTTTACATTTTGTTTCCTGACCCAATACATGGTTGTCATTGGTAAAAAAATGCCAGTAAAACAGTTTCAGCTTAATCATCTTCAGGTTCCACAAGAGAACCAAAATATTCATCTTGGTATCCAACTTCGTAAATTCGTTCCGGGACTTCATTCGACTGCGTATGAATCCATCCCTGGCTTCTGCACCACATGTTGCAAATGAAGCTTCTATCACTAGTCTCACATGCCTCTCTACTACTTGAGAATGTTGTTATTTATTTATTTTATTTGTTATCTTTTTTAAAATATTTTTTTCGCTCCACCCTACTACACGCATGGTGTCCGTTAGGAAGGTTGAGCCAACAGCACAGGCACCTCCGTTTGCGATATATCGGGAGAGAGCCACGTGGATTTTGAAGTGGCATATTGGGGTGTTTTTCGAGGAACCACCCTTTTGTTTAAGCAGTAACAGTCATTGTGTATGATTCGGAGATGTCAGGACAAGTCCAATCTGGCTTCAACTGTGGAACGCCATACTACAAGAAAACGCGCAGTCACGGTTTGAGACGGCATAGACTACGATAGCAGCTCACAACTAGTCCGTATTGTTGGCAGTATGACTGTGCAACGATGCGCGGATGACGTTCTTCCTCCGATAAAACTACTCCTCCTTCAGTGCGTGCCGAATACCATTTACCACAACGCCAGGCCGCACATGACGCATTTCAGTCAACATGACTTGCAAGTTACAAAGGTGCTTCCTTGGCCATCTATATGACCAGATCTCTCACCCATAGGACATGTCTGGGACGTGATTGACCTCGCTTGTGTGTGTTGAAACCGCCCCGTTAAGAAGACGAACTGTGGCAAATGATTAACAAGGAATGGACATTTAGCCCCTGCACGCTCCTTGCGTCTGTACTCAGATGTGTTGTTGCCTGTATCGCCCCCAGCGGTAATCCTACAACTTATTGAGCGTACCGTGTATTCGATCGTTTTATAAGTGCATCATGTTGCAATAAGCATCATTTATTGTTAGCTGTTGTGTTTCTCCTTCTGCCGAAATTCGTCACTTTCTGTGCATGCGTTCATCACTTTCAGCGTAGTATATTAAACAGTGCTTTATGTATATTAAACAGTGTCTCCATTAGCTTTTAGGGCTTATATTTGATAATTAAGACACAATAACACGCCGAATAAATACTAATTCAGAAATCAAACAACAAAAATCAGCGTTATATTTACAAAGTTAAATCAGCGTTATATTTACAAAGTTAAATCAGCGTTATATTTACAAAACTTTGTAAATATAACGCTGATTTTTGTTGTTTGATTTCTGAATTAGTCTTATATTTGATGTTTTTTAAATTTTTTGTGTTTCTATAAACCTAAAATACTTATTAAAAGGTGAACAAGAAAGGATACGAATTAAAATTCCAGTAAATTGATAGGAAAGGAACTATTATATAATGAAAACTGCATATAATTAATTAGCTGCGTTTAGGGAAATAAGCTACCCTGAAAGGAAATGGAAATAGTAGAGGAAGTCGAACACATGTTTTCCAGGGTAACAGATTACCAATAACTAAGGGTATAGAAGGGAAGATAAAGGAATTCGTGCTTTCACAGCCATTACTACCTTGGGTGTCCAGCTATTGAAGCGATTGTCTTGACCCCCAGAGTGTCTCCTGATGGGTAACATTCCAGCACTTGAACCTCGCTTTAGATTGCCGTCTGGACTGGCTGGTGCGACCAAGATCCTCGGCGGCTGGATGGTGTTATCTGAGTGACGTCGTCCCGGAAGATTACCCTGGACAGTCAATAAGTTTGAATCCGGTGAGGAGGATGCTAAAAGTAAACGGAAGATGATTAGGAAAAGCATAATTGTACTTCATCATAACAGGACTGAATACAGTCTAATAAAATGCGTTTAAATTGTAAATGGTTAGAAAACTAACAGTTACGAATAATTTTATAATAAAAGTAATACTGACAATGAAAACCCCTTGTATTGATCTCCAAAAATGTCACCATTTGATATTTACAAAGATCAGCTCAAATGCTATTATAAAATGTTAACTTAAATTAAAAGTTACCGAGTTAGGGAAAAAAGATAAATAAAAATAGTTAGTTTCCTTTTAAATATTTCGTGATAAAATATCAGTATTAAAATTTGGCTCTAACTTCAGTAATAAAAAAAAAATTGCTTCAGAAGATAAAGCAGATATTCTTTTCTCCTGTTCTAGAAATGATTCGTTTCTTCTTAACATTATTTCTCTCATAAAAGCTTCTCGAATTTTGAAAATTTCTACATTTCGTGCTGGTAAGCAAGTCACTACGTGTATTATTTTATAATTAATTATCATCAGTATGTTTATCAGTAACTTAAATGCACAGGAAAAATATGCGATTTAAAATTGGAACGGATTTACGAAATGCAAATTTCTAACATTTTGAAATTTTAATTTTATTAACATTCTAATAAGAATAAAACTCAAATTTTGAGATCTTTTTAAAAATTAAAAATCGTTTAAGTGATACATTGAAATCTTAAGAACTTATTTCACAGCGAAATAAACTTTTATTTAATTTTAAAAGATTTGAACTTCTAGTTATTTTTTACAACAATTTTTTCATAATTTCGGTTAAAACTGTTCTTAAAATGGATACGGATGCATATTATAATATATATATATATATATATATATATATATATGCATTTATATATCTATATAATTTATAAAACTAATAAATGAATATGAATAAATAAAGATTGAGTTAATCGGGTTTTTTACTGATTGGGATAAATCAGGTTCAATAATAAAATAAATTAAAGAACGAAATAAGCCGTAGAAATTTAATTTAAAAAATTTTATAAGATAATTAACTATAATAAAATTTTACCAACTAATTGACTGCTGATTATCGCCGATGTGGCTGTTATTCTTTGCAAAAATTAAAACGAAAAATGTTGATTAATTTTACGTGGTCAGTATTTTACAACTAAAACAAAATATAAATTAATTTAAATCTTTTTTACATTTAGGGTATTTTTTGAAATGCAGATTAATAAAAGAAGACAATAAAGGACAAAGGAAAAGTGGAAATGGAAAGACTTAATATTTCTCATGCTTTATAATATGTAGATTGATTATATTGCAAATGGCATGGTAGAAATTGTTGATAGTATACAAAAGCTAAAAGTTTGGAAGAGCCAGTCCTAATTAATACTTACTTATTGCTTTCATTAATTTTCTAATTAATGCATCAATTACCTCTTTGCTTCAATTTAAGCACTTCAAGATTTATTAATTCTATTTATCCATTCCATTGATGTTTTTATGTTATTTCATGTTTGTTTCGAATTGGGAAGTACTAAAATTGTAATAGTTTATGAATTTAATGGTTACTGCAACTGCGCAAGATTAATCAATTATTCTAGAAATTTCAAAAAAATTATTTAACATATAATATAATTTAAATTTATTGTATTTATATATATATGTGTGTGTGTGAGCAAGATATAACAAAATATGATAGCTGTTTTAAAAAAAAGTAATTGGCGACCTCAATATTAACATTCTAAATTTGGTGATCTGCCCTAAATTCATCTCTTCTCACAGGTTCCAGTGTTTTCTATCTTACGTAACGTTTTAATGCAGATGCTTCTTGTCCAATCAAATTAATTGTAAACCAAAACTCTGAACTGAAACTTTTCCGACTCCCACCCTGCTTCCTCTGAAGTACTTTGATACTCTGCATTTCCGCACAGCTATCCTGCTGAAGAGACGCTGTTAAACCATGCTGCTGCTTACTTACTTAAGATGACGTTTACTTCAAAATGCAACTTACTGTATTCAAATATAATTAGGAAACATCTTTTCTGAAAAAGGATGATTTGATATGCGTAAAAAAATAAAGATTGTGATTTTTCAAGATACGTAGTGCTAAATTGCGTCATCATCACTCTGCCACTACGGTCTTCTCTGTCATCTACGCAGTATCTTAAGCTGTTAAAGTTCCAGTGTTTTCATCAACGCATTTTAAAATCATTACACAAATTTAAATTAGATTATATGTTATATGCCATATATGTGGTATCACAAAATACCCCCCCCCCCGCCAAATTTTTTATTATACATATTTGTCGGGTATTTTGAAATCCGTTATTTTCGGACTATCATTCAGTCTCCAATAACCATTATACCGACGAGAGAGGAACATCTTAAAAAGTGCCTTTACCTGAAAGTACTGTCAAATTACAAAAAAATATGGCATGTGAAACTTAAATGGATAAAATTTATTTATATGGTTATGCATGAAATGGATCTTGTAAAAGTACTTGTTAAATCTAGGTATAAAATGCACGTGGATTCTAAGAACAAATTCCTAACATAAATATATAAGATAAGTATTTTGGTTTCCTAAAAACTGGTAAATGTAAGTGAAAAATAAATATGATAATGTGATTCAGAAAGGTCAAATGTTTAAAAACAGCGCATAAAGGGACAGAAGTAATATTTATATTAAAACTTTAGAATATACATATTTAGATTTTATTGAAAATTCTGCTTCCAGGTTCTTTAGTTGAAAATGACATTTTACTGTTGAACGCAGAAATGAGAGGATTTATATTGCTAAAACAATAAATTTTTATTTATGAGGAGAGAAGAGAGAAGAAGCAATATTTCGAAAATATGAAGTTTTCGAAATATTATTGCTATTTCATAAAATGTAAAAGTGATATAACGTTTCACAGTTCAGATGATCTCTTTTAATACTGATGTAATTAAATCATATCGAGCAAACAATGCTTTTCAATGAAACAGCTTTCGAACATAATGTATCAACTTTAAATTTAACTTAATATATTTTATATCACTACCTTATAGAAATTTCAATCACCACTTAAATTATTAAATCCAGAGTACATCTCAAATTGAATTTGTGTTAATTGAAGTTTCAAACTTCGTATTTCGTATAAAAAAAATCGATTCGGAACCAAATTAATCTTTTGCTTTTTAAAATACATTTATCGTTGATATCGATTAATGCCAAATCGATTACTTCCTTTCCATTTCATAAGAATTTGCTACCTTTTCTCTTTATTCAATTTCAATTTCTCAGTTTTAATGATACCTTTCTCATTATATCGTACTTTTGAAAAAAGACCTTGCTATTTAATTATGTCAAGAAATCTTATAATTGAGTAGAAAATTAAATTGCGTTTTATTCTCGAAGACAGAGGTAAGTAAGGAAAATCATCGAAGTGACATTTTTAATTTTCCCTTTTGCGTTACTTTAGATGCCTGTTCGTATTAAATAATATTAATTGCGACTAGATAGGAATATCGGCTAGTTTGAAGTTATATAATTGCTTTGGAGAAGAATAAAAATACACTCATTTCTTTTTCTACAACGATATATATATATATTGTTTCAATTCCTTTATTACGAAACATAAACATTTATAACCTTTTCAGAAAGGCACGTATAAAAATCCAAATAAAATAATGATTTGTAAAAGTAATTAGTTTAGCACATAATGCTTAGCATCACTTCATAACCGCAAGTCTTAATTCGAATCCACTTAAGAGGATAAATAGAAATAGACGAAATAGGAAGTTTTATATCATCATATTAAGAAATTCGTAATCTAATGTGATTATAGGTATGATAATTTAAAAATGCTTTTTAATTTTCTTTTTCTGTAGTATAAAATCATGTATATGTATTTGAATTAAATAATCTGGTAGATTTTTAATATCATTTATTTTTATGGCAGATAAATTGAAAAACGCACCAACGGACTTCGCTTGTTGCAACTTCTAGAGATGGTATCACGAAGCATTAACATGTAGTAAGTTCTATAAATGTATACTCAGTTATACGGAAAAATCTTTTATTCGGAATCAGTGAGGGCCCACTGCTGTCTGTTATCAGAGATTCTACTGTAAACCGAAACGGTGATTCAAGGAGTCTATCTTGCCAAACAGGCAGAATCCTAATGTAGCTTCGAAACTGTTAAAGTATACGGCGCAATAAATAAATAAATAAATAAATAATAAAAAAAAATAATTAAAAAAGGGAACAGTTCTCTCGTTTTACTGGGCCGATGGACGAAATTCAAATTGCGTTTTTCATGTCTCGAAAGTGCGACTTAGGATATATATTTAGATTACATATAGCATTGTTCTAACATAGGTATTTTGACACAAAATGGGTCTTTTTCTGAAATAACATACCAACTTTTTTTTCATATTTCGAGTCTACGACTCAAATTATGCCTAAATATTAAATTTTGTAAAATTTGGTGCGAAATTTACGGAGAAATTAAAAAATTCAGCTTGGCGGACTTTTTTTCAGTTTTCACCAAGAATAATTCACTTGGCGAACTTCTTAATATATGGCAACCTATTTTCCTTTGCCTTCCATTGCGCAGGAGCGGATAAAAAGCCACACCCTTCCTACCTTTTTACATTGTGCATGAGAGAAAAAATATCACATCGTCCTACTTTCAAATAATTTTAACAAAGTGCGTAAACCACATTAAATGTTATTATTGCTTTCAACAAATACGCCGAATTTCAAAACGCTCCAATATATAAATTCACGTATCTCTTCGGAAATTTTGAATAAAAAGCTCGTATTTTTTGCAGGTTTACTTAGAAATACATGTACTTTAAGATGGCGGTAAAAATTTTATAGGTCATAACACGAAATGTTTTCCAAAAATTTATAAAAATTATTTAAAAATACAAATTTAAAAAATGATTGATAAAAAATGGGTGAATTTTATTTGGAATGAACCTAAATTTCGAACTATGAAAGAAAGAATCAAGTAAGTG